AATCCCCCGCCTCCGCCGTGCGGCAGCAGGGGCTGATATTGGCCTCTGGTGGCGGCAGCCCAGCCGCCACTACTGGCTGCATCCGCCACGACGCTACCAGGCTCCTTCTTCTTCACCGACTCCTCCACCAGGGCCGCCAATTGCGAAATCTGCCGTTGCAAACTTGCAAGCTCCGCGTCGCGGCCCTCCTGCACCGGCGGGCGGATCTGTTCTCCGCTCGCAGCAGCGCGCTCTTCGTCTCCAGCAGAGCTCATCCCGATGTGGCTTCCCTCGAGGGGCAAACTCTAGAGTGTTTGCGGCCTACGCCACTTATTTATCGGGTGAGACTGTTTTGGTGATGTATTAACTTCACGGGAGGTAGACGACCGTCCTTCACACGGACGAAAGAGGGAGTGCTCAAAGAGCGGCTCCCACAGCAAGGAGGGGCCCCGTGAATCATCGCGGTGCCCCCTATCAAACGGTTATCTTATCAGTCTGCGTGACACAAAATGATCCAGCACATGTATCCAACAGCAATGTTCGCAGACTCACGAACAGGAGCAACGAAGATGTCAGCGACGTCCTCTGTCACAAGGGGTCGTGGTTACGCAGAAGGAACACCAACGCAAGGCGGGCGCCAACACCCCAATAACATTACAACCCATTTACACCACGCTCGCGTCACGCGCCAGTGCAGCGTAGCAAAGATCGGCGTTTCAAGCACTTCCAACATCTGAACGTCCAGAAAACATGAAAGAGGGCTCACCTCCCTGCATAGGGGTACAACAAAAAATATGTTAGGAATTTTTCGCGAAGCGCGAAGAAGGGGCGGAGAGAGGGGAAAGCAGGCAGGCGTTGATATGAATATGGATGGAGCCATCACACAGAGGCCACCGCTGCCACTGCACGCGCTCACACCTCACCCGACAGCACCAGTCAGACGTGTATGCAGGACTTCTTGTGCTGTGTTGCAGCGTGTGGACGAAGCTCTCATCAATCAGCTGCTTTGCTGCTGCTGCTGCTGCTGCTGCTGCTGCTGCTGCTGCTGCGTGGATGTGGACTACTGCTGTATTTGCTTCCCTCGCTGACGCTGCTAGCAGCAACCAAAGGGCTCTAAAAAGTCGCCCCGGTGCCTCTTATGTGTGCATTTGGTCGCCCTCGGCCTGCAGCAGTCAGTTCAGTGTGTACGTCTCACACTTTCTGTTCAGCGGTGCATCTGTTGTGGATCAATATATCGGCCTGCAGCGAGACGAGACAGACCGCAGATTGACTCGTGTGTCCTTGTGTTCCCCGTTATACGCTCCTGGGGGCAGGCAACTGGTTTAAAAATTCGCTCCCGACGCCTAGTATGACGTGATCCTTTGACCGTCCTTGGCCTAAAGCAGTGCAAGTCTCGTTGTCTTTGTCTTGGGGGTTGCATCTGTGTGGGAAGCTCCAAGATCGGCCTGCAGATAGAAGGACGGGCAGCAGATCGACCGGTGTTGCCCCCGTCGCTTGTGCTGCCGACAACACGCAACTGGCTCTGAAAGTCGCACCCGACGCCTCCTACGATGTGTGCCTTTGGCTGCCCCTTGGCCTACAGCAGTCTCGGGTGCTGATGTTCTGGTTGCCTCGTGAGTTATCTACGTGTGTGTGTGCTGCTGCTCTGCTGCGTCGGTCTTTCGGGGGATTCCCGCTCGGCGGCGTAGCAATCAGCCGAGCATCTGTATCTGTTGAATGCACAAAATGTCCTACAAAAGCGACACGTGACTGGTGGGAGGATGGCTCTGTTGGCTCTACCCTCTAAAACCCATATGATTTCTTGTTGGCTTTTCCGGTCCTACAAAAAATTGCTCTGCGTATGGGTCCGGTGCCTGAAAGAAAGGTTATTTAATATGCAGGTGTCAAGACGAGTCCGGGGCACGGGTGCTGATGAACACATGAAAAAAATACAAGCAACAACAAACCAAACAAACATTTGATTGGGAAATGTAGACTCGTAAGAAAGAGAAACAGGTCGTAGTAGGCGCGCATGCAAACTCTAGGCAGAAGCAAAAGCGCACCTTATCACCCAAAGCCTTGGGCATGTTGCTAACAAAATAGCCAGTCGTAAAGCGGTAGTCCCCCCCCTACCTTCCTCATGCCCGCCGCACGCTTCTTACTCTTCGTAGAGGCAGGTCGTGAACGCCCCACGGGTCTTGCAGTGCGTCCAATCCTTTCTCCCCCCACCAATGCTGCCCTCGGAGTCGCACGACGCATGCGGCTTGAGAATGGCGGCTTTAACAACATATTCGCCTGATTGAGAGCGAAGTATCTGATTGAGAGCGAGAGCCAAAAAATTGAAATTTCGGGTCCAGACGCCTCTTGCCATTTCTTGGCAAGTAGGGGACGGGCTATTCCAAGAAGCGGTGCAAATTGAAGGTCTCATCAGCAGCTTCGCGAGCATATGCGTGTCATCGTCATCGGATGCTGCAGCGAGGAGCTAGACAAGTTGCTAGATTTGCCCAGATTGGCTATTTCTGCTCAAACTGTTTCAGGGCGGTATCGCGTCGGGCGGTGGGCTCTGCTGTAGCTTCTGCTCCCCGCTGTAGCTCCACAACGAGAGACTCCCACAGGATGACCAGGGTAGCGGCTTGAAGCTACGGGCTAGCCCTTCAATTCAAGCTACACAGCAAGCTCCACCTCTCAGTGGTAGTCCGGCTACAGCGTATCGCGCAATCTCGCTCTCAATCAGATGCTACGCTCTCAATCAGGCGAATATGTTGTTCTTTGTGTTTCGCCCCACCCGCACCTGATGCATTCTTGATCAATCTGTCCTTGGAGTTTGGGAGGCGCGCGCATCCCGGACCCAGCGGGCTGCTGCTTTACCCTTGCCGAAAACACGCTGGTAGACGGGCTCGGTGCGTGCGTAGGAGCCATCGCACACAGCCTCCACGCTAGCGGCTACAGCAGAAGCCATCATGGACAGACGGAAAACTGCAAGCAGCAGCGTGAAAAATTGGGTACTCATCTCGCCTGTTGCCCATCTTTTGATGTTTGCGCGCAGGAGGCAGGTCTGCCCGGTGTAGCGGGGCTGCTGCAGCTGTGCAACTCCCATGTGTGACTTTTTGCGGAGGGACCCTGCGGCATGTGTCCCCGCATCGGGCGGGGTCGCGTGCATGTGATCTATTCGTGCTGTCTAGCCCTTGGTCGCCAGCTCCCAGAACACTAAAATATGTCTCGCTAGGAAGAGCAACCTCACTGCTACCCTCACCACAGCGGGGGGTTAGTCACAAAAGGGTTAAGGGAATCCTTCGCAACATCGAAATGTCGCGTGGTGACGTTGGGATTGATTCGTTGCCTGATGACGTTGACCGCCCCCATTAAGGCGACATGCTTGGTTGCTTGTGCCTTCTGTTGCTTTTCGCATTGATTGTTGGGTCTGCTTTTGCAAATGTTTGGCTTGTTTTCAGGGTTGTTTGGATTGCTTCTTGCATTGTTTGGATTGCTTCTAGCCTTGGTTGGTTTTTCTCATTTTTTTCTCGCTTTATTTAGTGCCTTTAGCGTTTGTTCACGGCCTGTAGGCCTTTCGCGCCCATTGTTGTCGCTTGTACCCTGCTGTGGCGACTGCGTGAGTGACGTATCTTCCGATATTGATTCTTCCTTTTTGCCGTTCAGCTGGCCTTTGTCTTCTTCTGCTTTTCTTACTTTCTTCGTGTTTTCCCTTCTTCAGTTTCGACTATGTTCCGGTCGTCGTAGGATTTTTCTTAGCCCCGTCAGTCTCTTCCTGTGTCTTCTTGTCGTTTAGAAGTCAAACGATGGTCTTGCGACCCATCGAGTGGGAGGTGTGGGAGCGTGAAATGTGCTGTTTTGGAGCTCCGCATCCTCGATACTTTCATTTGGGGACTCGACTGCTTGCCAAGCTCCGAGGTTTTATAGTATCTGCGTATAAGAACCTCCAGGGTGGGCTAGTGTTAAGTAGGATTCAGATGTGTAGTTGGAAGATAGAAGATAATGATGCCTTCTAGAAGGCGCGGAGAGACAGACGTAACCCCACGCGGAATGATAAAACAGGGGACAGGATCTAGTAGCCCCTGCTTGTATAGAGGATCCTGCGCCCCTTGGTGTAAATCCTACCGACACCCAAGGCAACAGCTACTGCTGCTGATGTACTCCAAGAGTAGTAACAAGTGAGTTCTTCTTCACGGGTCTACCAGACTTCATCAGCCGTGGATACCACCACACTCCTTCTGCCGTTTCTAGAGACTTACCTATTTTTCGGTTTCAACCATCAATCGCTTCGAGGAAAAGGCGCCCGTGCTGAATTCCTCGGCCCAAACCATGTATTGCTCGATGCCAACATATTTCTTCCCGAACTAAGCCGTTTTTTAACATCCTCTTGTCCATGCATGTCTGAAGTGCAAATCTCCGTTACCACTCCTGAACTACGCCTTTCAGCAAACGACCACAACGAACGGTGGTCTCAATCAAGTACCATATATATATGGGGCGGGAAATCGGCTTTTATTGATTTTAGTGTTTAAACCTTTTTTCGGCCGTCTTCGCCGGCGTGGGCGTGCCAATCTCACGATCACAACGCCCCTCCCTGTCGCGAGCTCTACACTCCAAGGGCGAGCCGAGTAGCAGCACCGTGAAGTACGACTAAATCTCCTCCATCCGGGCGCGTCTGTGGTAGGGACTGTCACCTCAAGAATCGCGCAGCTCATTCGACGAGATTTTGGAGTTGTTGTTACATGTAGCACCGACGGTAGATTCTACTGTTGTTATTGTGCCTCGTGGTTAGCAACGCTAACTGAAGTAACATCGTAGTCAGGAACAGTTTACCATAGGTGCGACTGCGGCAACTAGGCTTCCGTAGACATAATACAGAAAGAAGAGATGGTACTCAGCAGAGAACATGAGCACAGAGTTGTAGCGGAGATAATTTGGCAGGCGAGACTGTAGTTGTTTTATTGTTCCGAACCCCGAAATTCCGGTACTCGGGCCATTACTCCGGAGACCCTCGGAACCTGCTGTGTTTTTGCTGCTTGTTTCTTGTTTTTGTTTTGTTGTTGAGATGAGACACAAGCGCGCCTTCGCCCCTTGTGCTCACTCTCATCTAGCACCCATCAAAGCCTGACCAGGGAGTCAGTTGATAAGAAAATCTATCTACATTTCTCTTTCCAGAGCTCGCTCGGGCCTACCGATCTCACAGCAGTGTAGACCAACCTCTGTGATAGAGCGGTGACAGCAGTGTAACCTCTGTGGTAGACTACAAAGTCTACGAGCTACAGCAGCACCGCCACCTCCGCTGCTGCAGGACGCCACATTTTGTGACGTTATGAGCCTCGCTTTACGCGAACACTAGGAGCTGCGGACGTCACGACGGAGGTCAAGACATCCTACTACTGCTGTGGACTACAACATCCGTCTGTGGACTTCGAGCGGAAATCTGGATTCGGAGATTTGGGAGATCATCAACGGTCAGCGGAAACGAAAGTGAGCGCACTACTTGGTCATCTACACCAAGGGGCTGAGAGTTCATTATACACACACGTTATCACTGCTGCAACAGCAGTAGTGGGTACCTCTGTGGTGAACAAACAGCAAAGTGTTGCGCGGGAAGCCTCGATTTAGACATTGAGCAAATACTTGTGCGGCGGAGACAGGAGGGAAGACTGTATCAACAGCGAAAGTCGACCGGGAACCGTAGTCCTATTCACCGATTCCCAAAGTGAGGAAAGGGTATCAGGAGCGGGGTCGCAAATTGGCCTACAACCGGAGTTCTATTCACCGATTCTCTATCTAGGTGAGAAAAGGGTTTCAGAAGCGGGGTCACGAATCGGCAACCGGAGTCCTCTATATCAATAGAAGGAGCGGGGCTGGAAAAATCTCAGCGACAGATAGCTGAGTAATACACCAACAAAAATACAAGACGAGATCATCAGGATAAAACCAGAAATGGAAGCAAAATCGGGAACTGGAGGCGGAGGCAGCATCTGGAGTGATGGATCCACAAACCTGGCCAACGTCATCAGAGGACTCCCCAAGTTCGATGGAACGAAACCAGAGGACTTCAACGACTGGATGAAGAAATTGGGTGTAGTCGTCGGCGTTACTCGGAGGGACATCATGCCACTTCTCAAGGGAATGCGCAGGCCTGATCCCTCGGACACCACCTTCGCCGCATACGAGAGAGCAAACGAAGATCTCTACGCAATCCTATTCTGCCTCGTCGAACTGCCAGCTTCACTAACCGTACACAAG